TCAAGCCCACATCATCCAGTGGAGACAGTTTGTGTCTGTCCCTGTTGGCTCTGACCTCCACCCCGTCAAAACACCTCTGAGATGAAACTGGAGCCAGGGCTGTTAAACTAACGGTCGCGAATATCATTGAATTCTACAGCATTAATATTTTTTCAAGTTAGTTTTTGGGGCTTTTTATGCCTTGTTATTGTGGTAGCAGTGAGAGAGGCAGGAAAGTTCGAGGGAGAGAGAGGGAATGACATGCTGGATTCGAACCTGGGCCGCTGCAGTCAGGAGCTAGGCCTCATGGTATGTGCCTTACCAGCTGAGCCACCGAGGTTGCCCCTACAGCATTAATATTTACCTTGGTTTGAACTAAAGGATGAAACCATGACAACCAGCTCCAGTTAAAGGACAGAAGTATGTGGACAGTGGTGACCACATACTTTATACGCAGGCTACTGTCCACAGGTAGTATTCCGTCAGAGAGACACGTAATCTACAGACAGGGAGGAAAATTAGTAAGTGTCTGTCCTCAATGTCACATGATTACACACTAACACCATGACAACAGCTCACAACATACAGTATTCTGCTGTGACTCTAAATTAGTCTCTCTCTCTCTCTCTCTCATTGGCTGAACGAGGTGACGGCCATGTTGTTGTCTCAGCTCAGTCCTCCTCAGTACACCTGCTCTGAATGGGCAAAATGTTCCACATGTTTCTCTCTCTGTGGACAGTGATGAGGCCAACCAGGTGAGAGCTGCTGTTGGCCTCAGACTGATGATCACTAACTGATGGTCAGTGTGTACCAGGCTCCTCCTCCCAGGTATAGGTGGAGGCGTGGACACCTGCACAGTCTAATGCAACACAGTGTAACTTCAACATAAAGTCAACCTCAGGAGTTAAGGTGGAATCAGCAGCTCACACAGAATCTGATTTATTGCAGGTTAAATTGCTTTGGATTAAATTAGACTGTAGTGTTTTCCTCTGCACCCCCCACAGACAGATGATTAACAACATGAATAAAAGAGCATTTAAAAAAGATTCTGAGAAGTGGTTTAAAAGCTGTTTCTCTTTCACTCTTTTAATCACTTAAATGAATTTGTGTGGGGTTTGTTTGTCAGACTAGGTCAGAGCAGGTGTCAGCAGGTATGAACAGGTCTCAGCAGGTCTCAGTAAGTGTCAGCAGGTCTCAGCAGGTCAGAGCAGGTCAGAACAGGTCTCAGCAGGTCTCAGTAAGTGTCAGTAGGACTCAGCGGGTTAGACTAGGTCAGAGCAGGTGTCAGCAGGTCTGAACAGGTCTCAGCAGGTCTCAGTAAGTGTCAGTAGGACTCAGCGGGTTAGACTAGGTCAGAGCAGGTGTCAGCAGGTCTGAACAGGTCTTAGCAGGTCTCAGCAGGTGTCAACAGGTCTGAACAGGTCAGACCAGGTCAGAGCAGGTGTCTGCAGGTCTGAACAGGTCTCAGCAGGTGTCAGCCGCTCTGAACAGGTCTCAGCAGGTCTCAGTAAGTGTCAGTAGGACTCAGCGGGTTAGACTAGGTCAGAGCAGGTGTCAGCAGGTCTGAACAGGTCTTAGCAGGTCTCAGCAGGTGTCAACAGGTCTGAACAGGTCAGACCAGGTCAGAGCAGGTGTCTGCAGGTCTGAACAGGTCTCAGCAGGTGTCAGCCGCTCTGAACAGGTCTCAGTAAGTGTCAGTAGGACTCAGCAGGTTAGACTAGGTCAGAGCAGGTGTCAGCAGGTCTGAACAGGTCTTAGCAGGTGTCAGCCGCTCTGAACAGGTCTTAGCAGGTCTCAGTAAGTGTCAGTAAGACTCAGCAGGTTAGACCAGGTCAGAGCAGGTGTCAGCAGGTCTGAACAGGTCTCAGTAGGTGTCAGCAGGTCTCAGCAGGTGTCAGGTCAGGTCAGGTCTGAACAGGTCTCAGCAGGTCTCAGCAGGTGTCAGCCACTCTGAACAGGTCTCAGCAGGTCAGACCAGGTCTGAACAGGTCTCAGCAGGTCAGAGCAGGTGTCAACAGGTCTGAACAGGTCAGACCAGGTCAGAGCAGGTGTCAGCAGGTCTGAACAGGTCTCAGCAGGTCAGACCAGGTCTGAACAGGTCTCAGCAGGTCTCAGCAGGTCTCAGCAGGTGTCAGTAGGTCTCAGCAGGTCAGACCAGGTTTGAACAGGTCTCAGCAGGTCTCAGCAGGTCTCAGTAAGACTCAGCAGCTCAGACCAGGTCAGAGCAGGTGTCAGCAGGTCTGAACAGGTCAGACCAGGTCAGAGCAGGTGTCAGCAGGTCTGAACAGGTCAGAGCAGGTCAGACCAGGTCAGAGCGGGTGTCTGCAGGTCTGAACAGGTCTCAGCAGGTGTCAGCCGCTCTGAACAGGTCTCAGCAGGTCTCAGTAAGTGTCAGTAGGACTCAGCGGGTTAGACTAGGTCAGAGCAGGTGTCAGCAGGTCTGAACAGGTCTCAGTAGGTGTCAGCAGGTCTCAGCAGGTGTCAGGTCAGGTCAGGTCTGAACAGGTCTCAGCAGGTCTCAGCAGGTGTCAGCCACTCTGAACAGGTCTCAGCAGGTCAGAGCAGGTGTCAGCAGGTCTGAACAGGTCTCAGCAGGTCAGACCAGGTCAGAGCAGGTGTCAGCCGCTCTGAACAGGTCTCAGCAGGTCTGAACAGGTCAGAGCAGGTCAGACCAGGTCCCAGCAGTTCCTCCTCACACAGAAACAGAAAGCTGTTGTCTCTAATGTAAACCTGAGAGAACGTGGAGCAGAGTTGGCCTGAGATGTAAAGGTCAGCTCTGGATGAATACGTCGGAGCTTCAGTGTAACGTCAGTGTGATTGGCTGAAGGAATATTGACTGTGAGTTCTCAGTGATTCATCCTGTCTCAGTTTTACCACCTCATGTTGTTGAAGAGACTCTGATCCCAGAACTGCTGCTGTCTCGTCTCCTCTGTTTATCATTATGAAGTGCTTTTCCCGCCGGCTCCCTGGGGGAGGAGCGACCTTGGCTCGCTGAGGGCAGAGTCAATCCTCATCTTCTGGGCTCAAACATTTTTATTCTGTATTTCATGTCATCATCCTCCTGCTCTCTGAACGGTCTGGGTTTCACCTCTGAAGTTTCACCTTGTGGGGAAATGTAAAGCAGAATTAGAGTTTGGTTAATTGGAGACTGAGTCTGATGTTTAATTGTGGCTTAAAGAGTTTTTTTTTTATTTCTGTCAGAAAAATGACAAGTTGGAACTAATTATGACTAAATGTCAGACTGCTGCTAGTAATATATATACCTAAGAGACAGGTGTACAGACAGGTGTGTGTACAGACAGGTGTACAGACAGGTGTACAGAGAGGACACACACACAAGAGGTGTGCAGACAGGTGTACAGACAGACAGGTAGAAAGACAGGTTTACAGACTAGAACTAACGACAGAGACAGGTAAGAAAGACAGGTTTATCAGACACGACCAACAGTGTGGTAGACAGGTACAACAAGCATGTCACCCGAAAGAACAAGGTTTTAGCGGACAGACCAGGTTTACAGACAGACAGTGTTGACAGACCCAGCAGAGGTATGTATCAGATGTGTGCAGTGGGGCACCGCCAGGGGAGAGGCCGGCAGTCAGGGGACTTGAGGGAACGTATGAGGAAGTTGGGATCATGACACTGAGGCATGTTAGTGATGATATTTCTAACAGCGCCTGAAGGCAGCATTTGTATAATCTGTATAATTAGAGCACAGTCCCCTGAGGTGTTAGCTTTCACTGCTAATCCTCCACAGTTTCAGTCTCATTAAAACCAGGAAGTAAAACAGGAAGCTGCTGGTTCAACTCCCACATGGTATAAATGTTAATGCAGCTGAATCCTGGACCTACAGAGCTTATCTGAAAGCTAATCCTACACACACACACACACACACACACACACACACACACACACACACACACACACGCATGCACACACCACTGTCAACTTCATTGATCTGTGCAGGATGGAGCATGGTTTCAGATGGTTGGTGCTTTGCTCAGGGGCACTTCATCAGCACGTGGATGTCTGAAGGCTTTTATTCCACTCAGGGAATCGAACCCTGAAATTATGTTTCTGTACAAATAAATACAAACATGTTTTGTAGGATAATCGGTGGCTGAGGACGTTCAGAATAGAAGCAATTAAAAAAAGAAAAAAAGAAGGGCGTTCAGTTTGGTGAGTTGTAGCGTCTCTGCTGACTCATGTCAGACTTCACTCCCACCACTGTGCTGACTTCAGATGAGTCATTCACTCCTGGACGTGACTCTGAGCTCTTGTAAATGCCAACTTTAAGTCTGAAAGCTGAGCAGAAAAGAACAGTACACAGACTCTTTTAATGTGGAGCTTCAGAGATCACCTCACTGAGTTGACCCGATGGAGGTGTGGATAAATCTTACTACAAACACCTCCTCCACTCAGACTAGTTCCAGGTTATGTCCTAGTTTATCCAGTCAGGTAAAATATGAACCGTCAGCAACTTCTGTGTCCTAAAAAGTGTTTTCTGATGTCGCCATGACCTTTGACCTTTGGCCACCAAAACTAATCGGTTCCCCTTCGAGTCCAAGTAGATGTTTGTACAAAATTTGAGGAAGTTTGTCAAGGTGTTACTGAGATATCACATTCACCCAGGCCAAAACTGTGTTTTGTGAGGTCATCATGCCCGTGACCTTTGACCCCCAAAATCTAATTGGTTCATCCTGCAGTGTCACTTCTCAGGGTCTCAGGTCTTAGAGTCTCAGGTCTCAGGTCTTAGAGTCTGAGGTCTTGGAGTCTTGGAGTCTCAGGTCTCAGGGTCTCAAGTCTGAGGTCTTGGAGTCTTAGAGTCTGAGGTCTTAGAGTCTCAGGTCAGTCTTAGGTGTCAGTCAGTGAGGTGGTCTGTCTGTCTTTCAGGTCTAACTCAGGTTCTGGTCCCTGTCCTCTCTTACTCTCCTCAGACCCTGACTCTCTGCGTCTCTCCCTCCTCATCCGTCCTCCTGTCCGTCTCCTCCTCGGCCCGTCTGTCCAGCATGTCGTTGAAGGTCCAGACCAGCAACGTGACCAACAAGACAGACCCAAAGTCCATCAACTCACGGGTGTTCATCGGGAACCTGAACACGGCGGTGGTGAAGAAGTCCGATGTGGAGACCATCTTCTCCAAGTACGGCCGTGTGCTGGGCTGCTCCGTGCACAAGGGCTACGCCTTCGTCCAGTATGCCAGCGAGAGGCACGCCAGGGGGGCGGTGATCGGAGAGAACGGCAGGGTGCTGGCCGGACAGACGCTCGGTGAGTCACCGTCAGTTATAAATCATGTGACGATAGACCAGGGGTCGGCAGGTCTTTTTCTAATCCATCAGATATGGCTGGAACATAATCAATAGCTAATTTAAGATATTGATAAGAATTGACTTTGTTACTGTTAGCATATGAAGCGCTGTGGCTGACAGTCACAGACAGGGGGGCGATCTGGTAAAAAGATCATATGATCCGCTTATTGGGTAGAATCCCAATCCACCATCTTTGTCATCATCTGCATTCTGTTTTTGCTGTGGTTTTATTCTGAAAGTCCTGACAGGAAGTTGAGACTTTTCGCTGCTTTGACGCTTCTCTCTGATGTGTGTAAGCTCCACCCACAGTGACATTTTATATGTCTGACTGACTGATTGACTGAATCTGTTATTTTCCTTATATCACACATTGTATGTCGCTCTGTCGGAGCAAGCAATAGAACCTTTGGAACTTCCTTTCAGAACTTTTCAGAATAAAGCTCACAATAGCTTGAAATAAAACATTGCTGCAAAAAAAAATAAAAATTCTGTGGGTAACCATCGCTGCTCAGCCGGCAATCTATTTTAGCAACGGAGATCTCTTTTTTTCTGTTTATTGATTGATTTATTTAAAAAAAATCATATCAAAACCCTGCAGATTTGGCCCGCAGGCAGCCAGTTGCCGACCACTGCAATAGATGATAGTTTGGGATGTTTAAAACTGTGTCCATGTGTACATTAGAGCAGAGGTCCCCGACCTTTCCCAACACAGCACCCGCTTCAAAATCTCTAAAATGTCAACACCCCCAGAACAATATGGAGGCCCAATGATGCCTAATGATCAAACATTCAAGACTGAACTGAAAGCAGGAGAAGCATTTAAGAACCTCAGTGTTTCTTTTCTGTTTGACAGGTGGGGGTCACGGGTTGATTCACCGTCTGTCTCTGACTCTGTCCTTTCACCTCTCCCCGTTGTTAACCAGATATCAGCTTTGATTCTCCAGGTCTTACCATGGCTGTGATCTGTTAGTGAACAATCAGGCTGAGGAAGTATGTGATGTGTTCTGACATGAAAGTTCCTGTCGTTGTCTTTTCACAGTGAGAGGCCGTAATAGGAAAAGAAACAATAAAATAATGAGTTTTTAAACATTTGTTTTTAAAGATAATTTTGTTCTAAAACATTTAAGAAGAATAGATTTTTTAATTATATCTTTTCACCAAGATTTTACTGTTGTAAATGTCGGCCCACCTGTAATACCTTCACAGGCCACCAGAGGGCAGCAACGGGAGCCACTACAGTAAAGCAACAGTTGGACAGTTACTAAGCAATGAAACACAGAGAGGGGAGATTTAAACTGAAGAGTTGTCCTCTGTCTCTGTCTCTCTCTCTGTCTGTCTGTCTGTCTCTCTCTCTGTCTCTCTCTCTGTCTCTCTCGGTCTGTGTCTCTGTCTGTGTGTGTGTGTGTGTGTGTGTGTGTGTGTGTGTGTGTGATGCCATAGAGATCAAATGAACTGTCTTCTCTGAACCACTCTACCTTCTCAGCTCTTCTCTCTGTCTTCAGCTCACCATGTGTTTTTTACTAGAGACTGAAGAAATTAAAATGCCTGGCACAATAAATGTCATGCGATAATGAAGATAATTTTTATAGCACCTGTAAAAGACAAAGTTACAAACTAACCGCTTCAAATAAAAGAGAGGATAAAAAGAGACATACTGAAATGGAACAAAGAAAATAGAAAATCAGGAGAAATGAGGTAAATCTATGATCCACTGTAAAACTAATTGACTGAGGTCCAACAGCAAAAACCTCCTGGACTGACATCTGGTCTGTGGAGCAACTGTTAGCTTCCTGTCAGGTTAACTGTGATTAGCAATTCAGAGCATCAGTAACATCCAGTCATCAACCTCCAGACTGAAACATGAAGCATCAACAGTGAAGAACCAAAAGCTGCTGGTACAAGCTAGTTATCAGCCTCTGTGCTTGTTATCGTAGCCTGTTAAGTAGCTAATTAGCCAGCAAATGAACTAACCTTTGGTTAGCCTTTGAGCAAGATGCTCAGCTGTGCTAATGATGCTAATTAGTGTGCTAGTTAGCATCATTAGCAAGTGTATGCTTGACACAGTTATTGAACAAACATGCCCCGAAGTCTCATCTCCTCACACGCCTCTCCTCTTTGACCATTTTTGGATTAGCTGGGAGTTAGGGGTGGGGTCTGACATTGCCAAGATGGCGATGGTGGAGCAGCTAACTCTGAGCTTCAGAAACCTGTGGGTAATGTCACAGAGGGGACGTCCATCTTTATTTACATTCTGTGGTAACATCAAAGAAAAGCAAAGTCAAAATGATAAATAAATTAATAAATCGTGCATTGTTTACATCCATGGTTGTTAGCTAGCAAGCTTCTACTTCATTGCCTCTATTGCTGTAATTTTGAGCCGTTGCTGCCACTGTCTGTCAGTCAGTGGAACGACATGAAACCAGTGAGTTCCTCCACCTCTGTAAAAGGTGGAGGTTGTAGTTTGGTGATGAGTTACTGTTAGCTCGTTAGAGAGCTGCTGTCAATGTGAACTAACCACAAACATAATTCAGTTTATAAACCACATCAATCTGCTAAGTTAGCTGGTTAGCTAGTTAATAGGTAGCTATATCAGTTCAATGTGTTGGATTTTCCCTTTCAGTCACCAGCTGTTCCCGCCCTTACTGTTGCTTTGCAAAGTGCAACTCCTGTTGCCTAGCAACCTTGACAACACATAACTTTGTCTCACAGTAACTTTCTGTGTTAAGTTTCTTGGTTTATACATATGTATGTATATATATGTATGTATATATATATATGTGTGTATATATATGTATGTGTATATATATATATGTATGTATATATATATATATATAGTACATTCTGTTCATACATACATACAGTTCATCTGAAGGCAAGTCAAGTTTAATTCATAAGTCAAATAAGAACAAAAACTACTGAACTGCAAAATACATAAAGTTTGAGAAAATTGCTTTATACAAAACTATTATACATACAAGTATATATATATATATATAAATATATAAATATACAAAAATAGAAAAAATACTATATAGAAAAATACATAGACAAGTGGAAAATAGTAGTATTATACATGTCCTTTCTGGATTGCTGCAACATGAACCACGATTTATTCAACCTTTAATCATCCTGCTGCTGCTGCCTGTTACTGATGCAGCACCTTCTCTGGTGTGATGCTGCAACCTGGATGAGAGGAAATGAGCTGAACACCTGCCTCTATATAATAACAGTTCCAATTGACTGACTTACTGACTGACTGACTGACTGACTGACCGACTGACCGTCCTCAGTGCTGTGCTTCGGTCAGACCACAGATGCTGTTACGTGGCTCAACAGCTTCCTCTAGTGGAGACCATCAGTTAACACATCAACACAGTGATGAACAGAGAGATGTCTCCAGGATCTTTGTGTTTCTGAATCTTTGAATAAATGTTTTGTTTCTTTTCCAGTTTTTGTTTATTAGTTTTAGTGAATTTATAGTGACGGTCTCTTTTTTCCTGCTCTGCTGTTTCCTCAGACATCAACATGGCTGGAGAGCCGAAGCCAAACAGAGCCAAAGGCCTGAAGAGATCAGCAGCTTCTCTCTACAGGTACAGCTGTCTATAGTGGATCAATAAGTGTGATTGATCAGTCTGTTGCTCATATGTCTCCGGGGGGGGGGGGGTTAACGGCTTTAAACCTCTGCCCCCCCAGAGCTGCAGCTCCCTGGTGAAGTCTCAGTCTTCATGTATCAGAGCTTTATAGCTGTTAGCTTGTTACAGAGAGGATCACAGGTCTGTCTTTAAGGTGCTTCTACAAACTTTAATGAGTTGTTTTACTGAATGATTCTTCAGAGTAAACAGCTGAAAGACTTCTTATATAAATACAGTTTTAGAAGCTTTTCATACCTGACAAAGTGTTAACCATGATGAGTCTGAGTCAGTTTTATTTAAAAGGGATGAAGTTATCATTACAGCAGGAAGAAACGAGTGTTGTAAAGTTTCTTTTCCATACAGTTCAATCAGAAAGTCTTCAGACCCTTCACTGTTTCACACGTTACATTCATTTCCCCTCATCAGTCGACTCTGTTCTCCACTATGACAAAGTGAAAACTGAGTTTTAGAAACTTTACAAATGTATTAAAAAGTAAAACTCTCACACTGACAGAAGTATTCAGACACTTTACTAGTTCAGCTCAGGTTCCTCCATGTCTCTGGATCCTCTCTGAGATGTTTCTACATGGAGTCCACCTGTGCTGAACCAATTTACAAAATTGCCTAAAATTCTGGTTTCACTTTGTCCTTCTGGAAACTGAGTGAGACTGATGCAGGGAAATTCTGTCTTTCCTCATGTGTGAATCCAACCCCCAGGAGGAAAGGCACAAACCAAAACAACATTCATTGCCTTTCAGGGCTTCCGTAGAATGTGATGAATGTTCTTTTATATGGTGATGGTCCGGCTGCCTCGCTGTTGTTTGCATTACTCACTGAGTGAGTCCAGGACGTGTCAGTGGGTATAAAACTCACCATACATCATCCCGGACACCCGTCTCTCTGTCCAGGTCCTCTGTCCCTCTGCCTGTTGTGTTGTTGTGTCTCTGGGGGGAGATGAACTATGTTGTGGTTTCTTTTTCTTTGTCAGTATTGACATTTTTAAGCTTTTTTATTTGTATATGCAACTTAGTGGATGGAAACCCAAAAAGCTTTTGTTCCCATGTGTTGTTTGAATGTGGTTTGATGCTCGTGTTGTGAAACGTTGGATCACATGTGTTTGGTTCAGTCATTATGTTCCACTGTGCTTCCTCCCCAGTGGCTACGAGTTTGACTACGATTACTACAGAGAAGACTTCTACGACAGGTGAGAGGACGAAGCTGTGTTCAGGGTCTCCAGTGACCTTTGACCTGAGGCTGAATGACGTTTAGAGTTAAACATGTTTCTGTAGGGAAACACCTGTGGAACAAATACAGTTAGAGAGCTTTGTTGTCCACAGAGAGTGAACATTATGGAGCGAATCACTAAGATGTGTTAGAGAGGAGAGCTGGTTCTCAAAGGCTCTTTCTTCTCCAACATATCCCAAGATGCATTGTGCTGGTAATGAAAATAATATGTCAGTAAACAACAGTGACTGAGAGTCTGAGGATCACACTGTTAATGTCAGTATTGTGCTTCAGCTCAGTTCAACAGCTAACGGTACAACAGTTAAAACCAAGACACTTAAAACAAAAAGTTATGTGTTGTCAAGGTTGCTAGGCAACAGGAGCTGCGCTTTGTGATGCAACAGTAAGGGAAATCGCAGTCCAGGTCCTGATCCAGGTCCTGATCCAGGTCTCAGTTACTGTGAACCGAGCTGAACTTGGAGCTCCTCTCCTGGAGGACAGGTGTCCTAATAACCGTCGACCTGTGTTTCTCTGTGTGGAGGACGTACCGCATCATCACAGCTGATCACAGATCACATGTCATCATCATGTTCAAACACTTCATCGTAGCTGATGGGAACAACAGGAAGGAACAGTGTCTGTCATCGTCAGATCTCCAAAAAAGTCTTCCAGCCAGGGGATGATCTGCCCCTGGGGGGTTTGGGGGGGTTTCTGAGGAACATGTGGTCAGGTTTAGTTCACTGACGTGGACCTGCAGTGTGGTAACTATTACAGCTCTGACTGGACCAGGTGAAAGTCATCAGTCCGTCCTGACGTTCCCTCTCCACCAGTCAAAACTTTATTCACGTGTCAGCTGATGTTTGGACAGCTCAGGGCTTTGAACTGAACCTTTACCTGAGTGATGGAGAGGAATCCACAGGTTGAACTGGGAGGACGGCCTCTGTTAGTGAAGAGTGGAATGAGCAGAGAGTAAAGATGGCCAGCTGAGAGGGATCAGGGATGATGTGTCAGATGATCCAGATGTCAGACCAGTATCTGAGGATTGAACCAGGAATCCGGGGTCAGGCGGGGTTTGGAAACATTTGTGGTGAAGGAGGTTTCGTCTTTCACAGAAGAAAAGCAGCTCCTCTGAAGCCTCCTCAGACTCCTGTCACAACGCATCACACTCTGTCTGGTTTGAAAGCTAACAGTCTGAAGAGAGGCGATCAGAGGCTCTCCATCTCCCAGGGAGAGGACGAGCAGTTAATCCTCTGGTTCCTCTGCTCAGAGACGTGGAGCTCCACACTGCCAGAGTTCACCTTCAACTCTCAGATACTGTGACCTTCACAATAAGAGTCCAGTGGCATTTTGCCGTTAATGGAAGGAGGAAGTTACGACAGCACCAGTTCAGTTTGTGTGTGAGTTGTGTAACTGTCCACTGATCCTTCCAGGAGTTAAAAAACACAACCATGGCCAAAACTATCAGAGTGGATCAGGAAGACCAAGAAATGAAATCATTTACACTTTGATTTACCTCATAGTCAAAGTAGCTGCTTTGGAGGATGATCATTCTCTTCAACAAACCATCCTAAATTAGGAAAAAACAAGGAAAGAAAACAAAGAAAACAAGGCCTCATTTTTAGCCCCAGAGGTTGATTGACCAACTGACCAGCCAACCAAACAACCAACCAGACAACCGACCAACTGACCAACCAAACAACCAACCAGACAACCGACCAACTGACTAACTGACTAACTGACCAACCAACAGACCAACCAACTGAACAACCAAACAACCAACTGAACAACCAAACAACTGACTAACTGACCGACCAAACAACCAACTGAACAACCAAACAACTGACCAGCTGACCAACCAACTAACCAAACAACCAAATTACCAACTGTCCAACTGACTCTGAGAAGGAAGGCTCAGGAAGTGTAATGGGTCATCCAGTAATCGGATGGTTGTTGGTTCAATTCCCAGTCCTTCAGTCCGTGTTTCAAAGTGTCCTGAAACCAAAGTTTCCCGATGTATCACCAGTGTATCACCAGTGTGTGAATGTGTGTGTGGTAGAAAAGCTGTTAGGACGATCATTAACGATCATTTTCACTGTCCAGTGTGAACTGTGCTCCAGATGTTTAGGTCAGATCAGTGAACACGTGACACTTCCCTGACCTCTCTCCACTGGTCCTTACTTCTGTCAACCCTCTGCATGTTTCTGCTTATTCTGTGTTTTTCTGAGCTGATGTCATGAGGACTTTATCTGCTGATGTCTGATCTGCTCAGTAAATCTGAGGATTACAGACCTCGGCTGCTCGGGGAACGGTTCGGTCTAAATGGTGGAATTGAATTGTCATGAACTGTATTACACAATATTTCTTTTTGTTCGTGTTAGGGGAGGAGAGAGAGCAGCTTTCCATCTGGACTAGTGATCTGTGGTGATGATCAGACGTTTGACTTTACAGTTTTATGACCATCTGTAACTGAGCTGAAGGAGAATCTGGTTAAACTCTGGAGGATGTGGGTGGAGTTCGGTCCAGTCACCACAGGAAGTTACTGCTCGTCCCAAAGGTTGAAAACAGGAGACAGTGGACTGTGTCTCAGAGCCTGATGTAGTGTCAGAGTGAGGTCAGACGGGTCGGAGGGGTTGAATTAAATCTCCATTGTTCAACTCTCATGACCTGAGCTCCCAACAGAGATAGGATGAAGTCTTTGATTTAAACATCAGTCTTTTATTATCTGTGACCTCTGAACTCTGACCTGGGACCGAAGAGTAACAGAGCCTGAACAAGGAGTCACAGTGTGACTGAGTTTATTTGGATTAAGAGTTTCATCATTTTATTTCTCTTTGAAATATTCTGGGCTGAAACATGAAGCATCAACATGAAGAACCAGAAGCTGCAGTTCCTCTAACGACCACTAGAGTCTGGCTCCAACAGTGAGTCAGTCCCCATAGACTCCCATGTTAAAATGTCCAACTTTACAGCAGAAATAAACATGTTTACAGCCTGGTACAAAAACTGTTTTGGTCTCTAGAGCTAATTTCCTCCTTCATGACACCTGTTTATATAACTCACCTGTTTACATTTTATTAAGGACTACAGTTATGGAGGATTGAGGGCGTGGCCTCTTTGAGTGACAGGCTCCACCCACGCCCCTCCTCTTTGCCCATATTTGGATTAGCTAGGAGCTAAGCAGAGAGCACAGGTCAGATCACGTCCTGTCTGAAATAACACCAACCGCCACACTGTAGCACCTGTCAGAGGCAGGAAGTGTGTGGGCGGAGTCTGAGTCTGCAGAGGTGAGCTCGAACTACCTGACACAAGAAGAGATCCACAGAGAACCACCTGACGTTCTGTAAAGCTCAGACAGAGACGTTCTCACACATGTGCAGGAACATGAAGGACGATGACACCAACATGTGTGTTGTATGTGGAACATGTTGGAGACTGGAGCAAAGTGACGGACACTCTGTTCCAGAGGAAACAGCAGCTACTAACAGCTGAAAACAAAATCATAAATCATAAGAAACAGTTTTATTCACAATCTCTGAAGTTTCCAGAAAGAGGAGAAGCCTCGCCAGAGAAATGATGTTTATATAAAACTGATTTATTTTACCAAATATGTTTTGTGGGAAACCTAATTGCTTCCTGGATTATGTTCCATGGAAAGGTTTTTTTTTTCATGTGAGCCAATCTATTTCCTGTTCGGCATCGTTACAGCAGTTTCCTCCAAAATGTGTTTGTTATTACAGATAACCAGATCTGAGAGTAACTTCTATCTTTGACCTCTTTATTCTCAGCTCCTTCCTTTAAACCCTCCTTTCCTCCTTTCCTCACTCTCTATCCTCTCCTAACTTCTCCTCTCCCCCCCTCCCCCCTGTCTTCCTCTCTGCCTCCTCAGGTTGTTTGAGTACCGTGGCCGGGTGTCTCCGGTTCCTCGGGTGGTGCCCGTCAAACGCCCGCGGGTGGCGGTGCCTCTGGTACGACGGGTCAAATCGTTGCCGGTCAAACTGCTGACACGTAACGCCTCCGTCCTTCCCAGCAGCAACGGCAACAGACAGAGATGTAAGTTACTACCTGCTGTTCATTCACCATCATTTCATTTCTATCGTCCTCAGACACCTCTCAGTCCAGAGTCGGAGACACAGTGAAAGTTATTTCTCATTTCTCTTTTTTTCTTTTTATTTAAAGGCTCCATATTTACTGTGTTTTATTTTATTATATTCAGTTATTATATATTTTATTTTATTTTGAAGTGTTATATATAAAAACCATCTCCTCTCTCAGGCTTCTCTCTGGAGCTCTAGTAACAACAGGTCGGTGAGCCAATCAGAAGAGAGGAGGCTCTGAGCCTCTCTTCTGATTGGCTCACTGTTTTCTGAGTGATCCAATAAAAATAAAGCAGATTTCAGGTAAAAACACTCAGAGAAACCAAATCCTGCAAGGTTTGGATGGTGGGTCCAGGTGGGCGGGGCTTGGTGACTGCTTTGTTGTGACATCACAAAGTTCCAGAAGTCCTGACGGCTGGTTTTAAGGCTCAGTTTCTGAATACAGGCTGTGTGCATTTCTCTGTGGACTGAGGCTTTGATACTTTCACAGTATTAATATAGAAGCTAGAGCTGATCTATAATCACACTACACATGGACACAGACCTTTACACTGGAGGAGCTTTAAGATTTAACAAGGACACAGATTATAGTTGTTCAGCAAATCTTAAATGTGTGAGGAGTTGAACTGAGTCTGTTCCAGTTTGTCTTTATTTGTTTGTCAAGCTGAACCTATAGGAGCTTCTGGACTCATGAGGTTCCTCTCTCTCTCTCTCTCTCTCTCTCTCTCTCTCTCTCTCTCTCTCTTTCTTTCCGGAGAATAAAGGATATATATTATTTAATTTTTTTCAAAAAGAAAACTTCTCTTCAAATCCTTAATATTTGTCACAATATAATAGGAAGTGAGATTCTGTCTCAGCTTCTCTGTCATGACACAGAGAACACAGCCTGGCCTCCCTGGATGTTCTGCCTGTGACGGCCTGTTTCTAAGGCTGTGTTCTCTCAGGCTGTGAACCTTAGTTTTCTATCAGTCACGGTGGTCAGGTCTCTGCCACCATGTACTCTCTGTTCAGGGTCAAATAGAATTCTAATTTACTTTGTGATTTGGTTTCATTCCCATATTTGATATAATTTTCTTTTTGTTTTGAGATGATTTGATTGGGCCAGATAGTTTTTGTTGTGTGTGGGCGGAGCTTCAGCAGCAGCTGGCAGAGGAGACTGATCTTTGTTCAACTGGTGGCACTGAAGGCCTTTGTACTGGTAGGAGTGGAGGTCGCTCTCTCTCTCTCTGTGTCTCTCTCTCTCTGTCTCTCTGTCTCTCTCTCTCTGTCTCTCTCTGTCTCTGTCTCTGTCTCTGTCTCTCTCTCTCTCTGTCTCTCTGCATCTTTGTTTGATGCTTGGGTTGTAGGTTATTGTAGTTGTATTGTAGCGAGTTGTTGTGTGGTCGGAGGTGTTTTGGTGGATGCGGGGGCCGTGTTTCTCGGCGAGGATGGCGTCCTCCAAGACGCTGTCCCTCTCCATCCGACACGCGGTTCGAGTCCGGCCTGACCCAGCTCTGCCGGTGGAGGCGGTTCTCCTGGCGGTGGGAGACCGTGTGGCACTGTAACCTCTGCTACGCCTCCAGGATGAACCGAGGCATGGTGGTGTTTCTGAAAGACGAGAGATTAGTGGCAGAGCTGATAGCGAGCGGCGTCACGCTTAAAAGGGTTTACCTGCAGGTCTCCCCGCTCGCAGCGCCCTCCACCCGCATCACCGTGACGGGTGTTCCCCCGTTCATCCCCAACGAGCTGCTGGAGGTGCAGCTGCTGCGTTTCGGGAAGCTGTCGAGCAGCTTTAAAACGGTGGGATTAGGATGTAAAGATGATAAACTGAAACATGTGCAGTCGTTCAGGAGACTGGTGTTCATGTTCCTCACCTGTCCGTCACAGACTCTGGAGGTCTCCTTCAGAGTCACACATGGAGACGCTCTCTACACGGCGTATGCCAGCTCAGGCAGCATGAAGTGTTTGCAATGTGGAGATGTGGGGCATAAGCGGACCGCCTGTCCACACAGATCAGCTGAGGGGCGACCCGAGCCGGCTCCCGGGCCGAGCTGAGGCAGGAGAAGGATCCAGCGGGCAGGCAGACACACAGGGAGGTGAACAACAAACAGCTGTGGGCACGGATGAAATGAGAGGAGCAGAGGAAACATTGCAGGAGGTCAGGGGAGGAGAGAGTTTAAAAGGAGCGGCAGGTAAATCTGACCACAGTCAGTGTGCTGCTGAACGGGTTAAAGAGACAGGTGTTGTGGGGAGTGTGACAGGTGAGGGGAAGGATGAAGAAATGGAGGATGACTCTGACTTTGTGTCTGTTGATGGCTCACAGTCATGCGGTGCTGAATCGTACACACTGCATGAGATGAATGATTTTTAGATGAAACGTTTGGAAAGTCTGTCAATGGGACTGATTTTATTTTCCTGATGTAGAAAAGTTTCTGAAAAGTGCGTCAGCCCTGCAGAGAGTAGTGGGAGGTGACTTACTAGATGAGAAGAAGCACATGGCCAGTCTGAGGAAGGTGAGAGCAGCGAGCAAAAGAAAGGGACCGGAAAGCTTCAAAACTAATAAGTAACATGAAAATGAATGTGGTGCACTGGGTGATCGTCATCCCACTGTTCCCTCTACCTGTCTCTGCTTTCCTCTCGCAGACTCTTATGAGTAAGATCAGGGTCGGCTCTTTAAACATTAATGGTGTGAGGGATAGACAGTAGAGGGCGATCATCTCAGAGATGATATCACAGAAGAGGTTAGATATTGTTTTCCTGCAGGAGACACACAGTGACAGTGAATGAGACAGACTGGGGTCTGTGGTGGAAGGGTCAGTACTTCCTGTCTCATGGGACCAACCTCTCTGCTGGTGCACCTCGGTCCTGGCACAGGGGACAGCTGTCCTTCCTGCTCACAGACAGAGACGTTACAGCATCTGTTTGTCCAGTGTCCCAGACTGGCTGGACTCTTCAGACACCTGCAGGTCTGGTTTCAGGGCTTAGGAGAGCAGTTTCTCTCTGTCTGTTTATTTATGGTCCACACTACTCTGCAAAGAGGAAATCTGTACACGCACTAGTAAATTTCATTTCAGGACTGTCCAAATTAGCCATTTGGAAAACCAGGAAGACCCTCAGACCCCAGAAGTCTGATCATTCACCAAAACACAATATAGATTATACCTGGAATAATTTATTTAAGATCTGGAGAGAAAATATTACATGAAAAATTCGGCCACTGAGAGACGCCCACAACCTGAACAACCTGAACAACCTGAACAACCTGAACAACCTGAACAACCTGAACAACCTGAACAACCTGAACAACCTGAACAGTCCAAGTGTTGCAGGTTGGATGTGAGGAAGTGTCACATGTGATGTAACATCCAGGCTAACAGTGAGAGCTGCTGCTTCAGGTGGTTGTAGTGTTGCCAGCCCACTGGATGTTGTTATGTTAAGATATGATTAATCTTCATTGGCCTGTCTTTGACATGAATTCAATCTGCTGTTGAACACACACACACACACACACACACACACACACACACACACACACACACAACACACAGAGTAAATCCACACACATCCCTTCAGACAGTGAGTCTTCTGTAAATTGTAGCATCTACCAATAGTCTGCATGTGAGGCGTTAAGGGAGCGTCTGTAAATTGTAGAAAACTGCATGAAAATCCATCACATGCTGCACCACCAGGTAAACTCTCAGCCTGTGGGAAACACTGCAGCTGCTCCTGACTTGATCACATACTCAGGTGTGTGTGTTTATTAATCTTGGATCAATCATTATGTCCCTGGAGCAGACACAGTCTACCTGTTTGTTGTTGAGCCAGGTGTTGCAGGTCGTGGTCACTGAGCTGCTGGGGGCCTGCAGCGTCTTCAGGACCACGAGGGTGAAGACCACCACAGTGCAGGGGAGGCCCCGGGATGCTCTGGGTGTTCAGTCACTAGGTGGTGCTGGCGGTGTCTCTGTGTGGAGAAACTGATAAGGACGTAGTCCCACATCCACTCTCAGCTGGATCACTGAGCTTCTTCATGTTCTCCACTGAAGTTGAAGACATGGTCTCTGTTCTCCTGTGGACATGCCTCTCAGCCACAGGTGTGATGGTACCTGTTCACACTGTGTAGGTGCAGAGTGAGATCATCTCATCTGCACGTGTTCTTAACGTGGAAGCAGAGACAACATCTGGATCCATGACCCAGCTGAGCCAGGATGTGATGTCACAGTTCTCAGGCTCAGAGCAGGAAGCATCCACCTGTACCAACACACACCCTGTATCAAGAGTGAAGGCTCCTCTAAGAGCATATGTTATAATCACGTGTATGAAGTTTATAACATATATGAAATACCCATATATATATATATATATATATATATGTAGATTTATTACATTTTGTATGGGTAAACACGACGATGTCACTGGACTGTTTAAAACTAGTGTGTTCATCAGTGGTCAACAGTGACAGACTGAATCTATAGGTTTATTTGACAGGTTGAGTTAATTCCGAACACTGCAGGAGTCTGCACCAAAAAAAATCATTAATGCCCGAAATAAAGGAGAACAAGTGATTGTAGAATTACACACTGTATTCTGCACAGATTCATGTAATTAATGTTTTTTTTAAGACTGTAAATGAAAGCTGAGGTCATAACTGCAGCGACACCTGAGTTCAGCCATGACACCTTTGTGTCCAACAGGAGAATGTGAAGATCAAACTCTGACAGGATTCAGCTTTCAGACGTGGAGAGAATCAGTAGTGATGTTGAGCCACTTCAGTGTGAGAGGAACATTAAAGAGAAGAACTTGTCTCCAGTCGTATCCTGTGGAGACATCCTCTCTCCTCAGAGGTCAGAGGTCAGAGAGGCAGGAGCTAGCAGGGCTTCACTTACAGCAGAAGGACTGATGGTGTAAAACCTCTGAACAACTTCAACTCACAGGAATCAGCTTCTCTTATTCTGTTCAGCGGTGACTTTATATGTTTGTATCATATAAAATATTCTACAAAAAGCTTCATTTAAACACATTGTTTCGGTGGGCGTTTTTAGAAGTGTCTGGCCCCGCCCACAGCAGCTGATAGTGTACCGGTCCTCCTGCTGCTCCTCTAGACTGAATCTACTGCAGGAAACACACTGACTGTACATGACGACCTCACACAGCCCCACGTCTGATCACATGGACTGTCCCTTTAAGAAGAAAGTGCACTCACAGATTCTCTGTTTAGACTGGAGACTAAAACTGAACATGAGAGTCTGAGCATCATTTAAGGCTTCAGTCCATCTGAGGTTTTTACATCAAAGATCTGTGTGTGTGTGTGTGTGTGTGTGTGTGTGTGAGAGAGAGAGAGAGAGAGACAGATGCCTCAGCTTGGCTGGTCTGATCTCAGCTGGTTTTCTGTATTGAGACATTTCTATTGACAAAGCTAATAGAGGCATGAGAGGGAGGGAGGGAGGGAGGGAGAGAGAGGGGGGAAGAGAGAGAGGGAGAGAGCGAGAGAGAGGGGGGAAGAGGGAGAGAGAGCAAGGAAACAAAAAAGGAGGAAGTGAACAAATGTGATGAGATATAAATGGATTGATAAAGGTAAAAGATAAAGAGAATAAAAATGAAAGAATAAGAGAAGGAAAGAAAAAGTCTGGAGAAAAACAGGAGAGAAAGTAAATGAGAAGGTAGAGCAAGAGAGGGAAGAAGTTAAAGAAGGACAGAGAGAGAGAGAGAGAGTATTGAGCAATAGACACATTCACTCACAGTTGGTGAAATATGGTCGTAATTGTAAGTTCATTGTGGTGAAACAAAAACAACCACCAGATGTGTTGAATGGCTCCAGTTGTTTTCTGCTGCCACTAATGTACTCATCACTCTGTCTGTCCTCCTTTAATCCTGCTCCCTCCCTCCTCCCCTCTCCTCTCTCCCTCCTCCCCTCCTCCCCTCTCCTCTCTCACCCCTCCCTCTCTCTCTCCTCCTCCCTCTCTCTCTCTCTCTCCCTCTCTCTCTCTCCCTCCCTCCCTCTCTCTCTCCCTCTCTCTCTCCCTCTCTCCCTCTCTCTCTCTCCCTCCCTCCCTCTCTGTCTCTGTTGTTTACAACAGAAAGCAGTTTTTTTATTGAACATAAAAACATTTCAGTTGATGTCAAATATAAAATGAATTATAAAATTATAAAATAAATAATAAAATTGTACAAAATGAAAGAAAAATGAAGAAAAATGTTCATTTCTAAAATAACATGTTAAATCACAAGTTGAGGTCAAAATAAAATAAACATTTAATTCCAAAAAAGAGAAAAAGTGAATATAAAGTATAATTATAAATAAATAAATATTCATTGCAGGATGTGTGATAAACGGTGATAAACATTACAGATCAAAGGATGAATCCTTCCTGTCTGTGCCCAAAAGCTCAGGCTGACGGCCCTTTAGTGACCTCAGAGTTTGAGCAGGTTCAGGATTCAGTCTCTGTGTGACAGAAATGTGCAGCATGATGATATTATTATATTGTAAATTATAATAACTGTGAAACGGAACTTGTAAAATGTATTCCCAACATAAATGTAATATATATGCATATATTGAATTTCCATATATAACGTATAGGGCCTAGGAACATATAGAATAACAACATATGTAAAAATTATATTTTAGATATTGGAACAATTTAAAATATTGACATATATGCCTTACCCATGCAAATACGTATGTTAATGTATGTATGTTTATATTGTAGACATGTTATTGATATTAAATCCATCCGTCAGTATATGTTGATATATCAGAATGTAAATTAATAAGAAAAACGTGTAAACATATATAATATTGATGTGTATGTTGCTTTAATAAATTTGCACATATAAATTAAATATATATTGTTAACATATATAGTTACAACATGTTATACCATATATTATATTGATCTAGATATTTTTAATATATGTACATATACACATTTTACTATGGGTATTTCATATATGTAAGGTTATATATATTATAAACTTATATCTTCATATATCCAGAGGATGTATATATTTGATAATAATATATCACCTTATAATTAACATATGTGGTGACATCACTCTTGATATTGGGACATGTATGTCTTATTTATATTTCTGTATGGGAAAGTGTGACTTATTAACATCTCTCTCTCTCTCTCTCTCTCTCTCTCTCTCTTTCTCTCTCTCTCTGTCGTTCTCTCTCTCTTTCATTCTCTCTCTCTCTCTGTCGTTCTCTCTTTGTCTCTCTCTCTGTCGTTCTCTCTCTCTTTCATTCTCTCTCTCTCTGTTGTTCTCTATGTCTCTCTCTCTCTATCGTTCTCTCTCTCTCTCTTTCATTCTCTCTCTCTCTCTTTGTCTCTCTCTCTCTACCGTTCTCTCTCTCTCTTTCATTCTCTCTCTCTCTCTGTCGTTCTCTATGTCTCTCTCTCTATCATTCTCTCTCTCTTTCATTCTCTCTCTCTCTGTCGTTCTCTATGTCTCTCTCTCTCTCTCTGTTGTTCTCTCTCTCTCTCTGTCGTTCTCTATGTCTCTCTCTCTATCATTCTCTCTCTCTTTCATTCTCTCTCTCTCTGTTGTTCTCTATGTCTCTCTCTCTCTCTCTCTGTTCTCTCTCTCTCTCTCTGTTCTCTATGTCTCTCTCTCTCTGTCGTTCTCTATGTCTCTCTCTCTCTCTCTGTTGTTCTCTCTCTCTCTCTGTCGCTCTCTATGTCTCTCTCTCTCTCTCTCTCTCTGTTGTTCTCTATGTCTCTCTCTCTCTCTCTCTGTTCTCTCTCTCTCTCTCTGTCGTTCTCTATGTCTCTCTCTCTCTGTTGTTCTCTATGTCTCTCTCTCTCTCTCTCTCTCTGTTGTTCTCTATGTCTCTCTCTCTCTCTGTCGTTCTCTATGTCTTTCTACCAGCAGTGAGAAGCACAGAGCTTCAGGCGATCAAGTCAGAGTTGACTCAGATTAAAACCAACATCGAAGCTTTACTGGGCAGACTGGAGCAGATCACGGAAGACACACACATCACAGCCACAGGTGACACACACACACACACACACACAGATTTATAGGCAGGTTTTCTGGCTCGGGGATCAGACGGCCTCTGGCAGCCACGTGTGCTGCTCAGATTCCTGGAGAAAACACAGAGGTGTCACATCAAGAGAAACGAGCAGGAAACAAAATGAAATACGTCTTGTCTCAGAGATGTTACTTCCTGTGCTGTTGTCTGAGGGCAGAGGTGTCTCTGTGATATCCCAATTCAATGAGGAAGTCACTGAGGTCACACCTGCATTAGCATAATCAATAAATCAGATCTAAAAGCTGAGGAAGTATCTACTGGGAAAAAACTGCCAATGGAAAACTTAAAATCCATCGTTGTTTTTGGTACGGTGGCCCTGAAGCTCAAAGCTCTGCAACTTCAGAGAACACATGCAAACACACAAACACAGATAACACCTTCATCAGTTTGACAACACATGAGCTGCAGCTACAACACAACACAAGTGTTTCCAGGGGACACTAAAAAGTGACGGACCCGGCTCGGGCTCCGTTAGCGGTGTTGGAAAATGAGCTAAAGGTGAGTTTGGTTTATTTTGACGTCAACATCACATGATTCAGATGTTATTACTATTGTTAGCTTAGCCTCCGGGTCCATCCCTTTTTAGTGTTTCCTGGAAACACTTCCTGTTGTGAGTATCTGCAGCTCATGTGTTGTTAAACAGATGAAGATGTTTCTGGAGTGATTTGTTTTTTGTTTAATAAAATAAAATCAGGTGACAAAGGGACGTCTTCTGTGTAACATCAGTGACAATCAACATATTTCTAATGATGAATTTATTAATAATGAAGCTTCAGACTTGAAGCACCAATCAGTTCATTTGATATAGTTAGTCTCCAGCTGTGATTGGCTGCATCATGGTCCTGTCACAGCTCCTTAAGTAAATGAAGTAGCATGTGTGAACAGCAAGTCACATCATTAATTAATGTGCAGGTAAATAGCATTTAGCTTCACAACTCAGTTGCTGCAGCTAATGACTGTCATGCACTGTGAAGATCATGTGATGCAGCTGACATTATCAGCAGCGTGGGTCTGTGCATGACCATGGTGAGTTTACATAGCTTCTTGCTAATGTGCTAACGTGATGTCAGGTTGCGTTAGCACTTTCTGCTGCTCTGTTTCCACCTGCTGTTTACACACTATTCACATCTGCTAGCTACTTTAGCTTCGCAGTTAGCGATGGTTTTTCTCTCTCACTCGTGTGTCTCATGTAGTTTCTTTGATGGAGCTGAGGTTCAGTGAATTTAAAGCTCCACACCACAGAAACCCAGTGGTTAGCTGCTGCACTCAGCCCGTCTCTAGTAGCGGGGGCAAACTCTACTACTGTAGCTCACCGGTGACCTCAGTTAAATGTTTTCCTGCAGGTTAACTTAACTCAGACTTTGTTAAACCAGAAATCACCTGGAGAAACAGCCGCCAAATAAAGAAAGGCGAGGATGATGTTGTGTTGTGTTTACGTTGGTTGGGTTGGAACAGCTCAGATCGATCTCTGCTGTTCAGTCATAAAGAATATTCATGGTTTTATAAAGGAGATATAGAAGAAGCTGCAGCTGTTTTCACTTCCTACGTCACGAAGCATCAGTTTAAACTTGTACGTTTTTCTGTTTCTGTGTGTTTTGGTCCAGAGTTGAGGAAGGCAGAGGCGTGTAAAAACAAGGAGGTGTGGCAGGAAGGGGAGGAGTCAAGCTCAGAGCTGGACGAGGAGGAGGAGGAGCAGAGACAGAACAGCACCGCTGAGGAGGAGGACGAAGACGACCAGGAAGAGGAGGAAGGAGAGCACACGCAGGACGACGCCCACAACCACATGGTGAGTATAACACCTGTGTGGTCTGGTGAGGTGTGACTTGTGAGGATATCTGATCTTGATGTTCACTTCACCCTGAAGTGGTTCGATGGAAACAACACGTTGTATTTTCCGTCTGATGACATCATACAATTTGAGTCTCTTTGAGTCGTGAGGATCACCTCCTCGTGGTTGTATCCCTCCGCCATTAGGGCTAGTTCCAGGTTACATCCTGTTCATAGAATATTCACCATCTGTGTGACATTTTTTCATAATGTCTGTGTGAAGTCTTGAGTAATGGCTAAAAAGTGTTCTCTGAGGTCACACTGACCTTGACCTTTGACCCCCAAAATCTAACCAGTTCATCATTAGTTCAAGTGAATGTTAGGTGTTACAGAGAACCTGAAAACAATATGGCTCCTGCTCTGGCTGTCGCCGGTACGGAGGCATGATGGAGGTGTCCTGGTGGAGCCTGTAGCTGACCGCATCCTTCAGGGGACGTGGTCTACGAAGGCGTGGCCCTTTGTTCTAACAGTTGAACCGTTAGCTGTTGAGCTGAAACATTTAACAGTGTGATCCTCAGTCTCTGCCAGTGTTGTTCACTGACATATTATTTTCATTACTGACATGCAATGCATCTTGGGATATGTTGTCCAGTAAAAGAACTCATTTGAAGGAGCCTTTGAAATGTCTGTGACGCTGTGACTGCCGTAGAAACATGATCCTGGTTTCATTTCCCAGCGTGATGTTGGAGGATGTTTGATTTTCCTTGATGGAGATTCTCACGGATCCGAGTCCACAGCAGCTGGACCGCGAGGAAACCACTTCCTGTCTTTATCTTCAGTAGGAGTTTATAATAGGCAGCGTGTTGTTCAGAGCAGCTTCATGATCCTTTATGCAACCCATGCTTTTTACATTCAGTGTTTAAATCCTTACACCTCCTCCTCCTCCTTCATGCTGCAGTGTGTCTGACACTGTTGTTCACTGTCTG